GGGGGGGGGGGGGGGTTACTGGGTAAGGAACGAAATGAGAATGAATAATGGTGTTTGGTTCATGTAAATTAGGGGAATGAATTTTCGCTGCCTACAATTATCATATCTCAGGGGATGTATGGTTTGGTTCATGCATTCTCAGTTGAAAATGGGAATGAATATTCATTCCCCATTTTAACCTGAAATAAAGATTTGAGCTTATGTGGGAATGTACTCGTTACATTATATACTAAAACCAGACAATTTCTTTTATTTTCAATTCTATTAATTACTGCTTAATACCTCTAATCAAACAACCTCTTAATATTTCCATTCCCTCCAAATGAAACCAAACTTCTCCTTTATTTGTGTTCATTTTTGTTATACGCCGAGCAGATAAATAATGAGAGTTTTGTCTGAGTTGTTCTTTGGTGTGGATGGCAGTGGTTACTGGACTAGATCTGGACCGGGCAGTTTTCCAACCAGCTAGTCTTGCATCAAAGTGATGGTCAATAACCTGTTTGAAGCCAAAAGGCTTTGTGATTTATGGATGATACAAACATCGCCTGGTTTGGTTGGTTTGAAGGCATTTAGACAAGCCAACTTTACTTAAATGTTTGTAGTTAACAAAAATATCTACACAACTCAATCCAAACAAAAGTATAAAATCCAACACAGTTGGCCGGGTTGAATTGATTGATTTGGTTGAATTTTTGTGCACCCCTAGGTTGTGCTTTGGTGGTGGTACCTTTTTTGAAATGGTAGAAATGCGTGGTGTCAACAAACCTCAACGCAACTAGCGGTTAAAAAGGATTAGTTGAGTAAATGATTACTTTTACTTGTGTATTCAAATGTTGGTTCTCCTCCTTTTAGGAACAAGATTAAGAGAGAGATGGGTGAAGGGGAGGAGATGGTGAAAGTGTCATTGGTGGGGAAAAACAAACCCTAGGTCTTGAAACGACCATTTTACCCTTGTTACTAACATACATGAGTTAGTCAAAAGGAGTTAGTCGAGGGACTAAAACCACGTAAGAATGTGATTTTTTTTGTAATAAAGAAATTGTAAAGATCCAAACTAAGAAAATCGGGGATCAAGTCTGTAATTTACTCTTAAATTTATTAGAGTGAATTACAATATTGTGGTATACACTTCTCTCAATTTATTAAGTTGATTGAAATTAAAAGGTTGTTTACCAAATGTTTATTTATTTAAGTGCTTACTAAGTTACATTACTTTACCAGATGAATATCGTAATGACCAAAAATCTTACCTGGTAAGAGCAAGGTAACGATCAAGAGTCTTATCCGGTAAGTGAGAGCAATGACTTTTACCATGGTCAGCTCTTACCGAGTAAGATTTTAGGGGCCGTTTATCAAACACTTACCTGGTAAACGTTTACCAGTAAATTTTAACATTACCACTTACGTATCGGGTAAGACTTTAGTCCATCAAAACGGTATCGTATGCAACAATTTACCTAGTAAACGCTTATCGTGGTAAGGGTCGTCGTTCTCACTTACCGGGTAAGACTCTTGGTCTTTGTCTCTCTCTCTCTCTTACCGGGTAAAGCTCTTAATCCTTACCATATTCATCCGATAAGATAAAATGTGACTTGATAAATGTAAGCATCTAGGAAACGGCCCCTAAAATTTTATCCGGTAAATAAATGATAGTGTTAAATTTTACAGGTAAGTACTTACCGGATAAATGTTTGGTAAACGACCTCTCAAACAAACCAACAATATGGTATTTGAGAGAGAAAAATAAAACCTTGTTATATGTGTGACACCACAATTAAATTGTGACAAGATATGAATGAACGGGACAAATATATATATAGGGAAGGGTTCAAACGAGAACCCCTGTGATTTACGAAAACGCGAAAACAACTCAGTAACCACATATTGTGATAAAAAAATAAAATTAAAAGATTTTTAAAATTAAAATTAAAATTTAAAAAGATTCAAAAAAATTTAAAATTAAAAGGGTAATAATGGAAATGATATATTATCCAGAAAACGGTTAGAATCTTTTAAACTTTTAAACACAATCAAAATCTTTTAAACCTATCATTATCATCTACAAAACGGTTACGATTACAAGCAACCCTAATCATGTGATAATCATGTGATATGAGTGTGATAATCATGTGATAGGGCTGTGATAATCACCGTTATACATCACTTGGATTATCGTTTTGGTTGATAGGTTAAATTTTTGGTGTAATCATGTGATATGAGTGTGATAATCATGTGATAATCATCATTATACATCACTTGGGTTATCGTTTTGGTTGATAAGTTAAAATTTTGGTGTAATCATGTGATATGAGTGTGATAATCATGTGATATGGGTGTGATAATCATCGTTAT